CACTTTTCGATAGTGTCAGGTACACAAAATGGATGAATGTGGTTGTAACAGAATCCGGTCGTAAACAAAACCTCTCGACTGTATGTATGTATGTTGTTAATGTTTAATGAGGGTCCAATCGCCCGTAAGTGCACAAAAAGCAGCTCTCGCTGTCGAGTACGGACCCCGGACATGTCACCAGTCATGCCCTTAAAGTATGTTATAGTTCTAAAATGGTGACCTATTTGATTGGAATTCAGTAATTCACTGAATGAGCCCAAATAAAATGCTATTGTTTTTAGATTTATTAATGAAATAATACACGGGAGGCCAATGAGACCATTGTACATTATGTTGCTTAGTTAAAGAATGTGTTGCTGCCTAAAATAAAGGATCAAGAAGCGGACGGGTAAGGTTTTCCTGACATAGGCCATACTGACTTACGGACACGCAATGGTGCTTCGGGCAGGTATTATTGGTTTGGTGCCTCAGACAACCAAAACGGAGACACAAGTTCACTCCTTCCAGTTTTCAGCTCCGCCATGGACCATGGACTGCTTCCCTCATCTGGTGGATCTAGAAAAACTCCTCCACGTCTTCGAAGATGTCTTCTTTAACCTCCCCCCCGTAATGCCTACTTTGAAAGTGCGACATTTTTAGGGCTTGGTCATGGATTTGTCATCCCCTCAGAGTGGCCTTCTTCATCTCGTCATGTAGTTCTTCTAGATTTCTCAGATATTGAGATAACCGCCTCACAAGTAACCATCACTCACAAAGTGATCCAGCTGCCGGTAAGCCACAGACAATTTAGCTATTTAGAAAATAAGAACAGAATTCCGAAAGGTATATCCTACCTGGTTCGGTCCAATTTTGAATTTTGTTTTTGATAAAAATATGGAAAGCCATAGACGCATTTATTTTTCAGAATAAATTTACAATAATAAAATTTCCGGGTTTGAAAAATGTTATTGCCAAGGCCGTCACAAAGTACTAATAGCTTAACTTCTCGACTGTTCTAATCATTGAGATTTAATATTTAATTTCAATGTAGTGTGTGTAAGCTTTACATAATGTTTGCATGTATAATTGTATTGATATATTTTAACCTTAACATAAATCAAGGGCTATATCGTCGATGCCTTAGTGGTAGAGGTTTCTGCAGGGTCAGATGTTTCTTTTTTGAAGAACCGGTCAGAGGAAATATCGACTGCTATTTTGGCTACAACTGCTGCAGAAGAATGTTTTCACATTACAGGACGTCATAAAATAAATTTTACTTTTCACTTAATTCAACAGATACTCTGCTATTAAAGGTCCTTTATTCTTCTTAACTCATTCGCCATTTGAATTATAATATTATGTAATTGCACAGAATAATAAAATAAATTTGGAAAGTTTCCATTTTTATCAAATGTTGTTTCAAATGACATTCAAGTCACTTTAGTTTCGCAATAAAAAGACTATTATCAGAAAAAGCCTATTTATTGTTATCACCCCTCACTTTTTTCGTAATGTTAATTTCCCATAGGCCTCTAGGAGTTATTCTTACTGTTAATGCAAGTGTACCACGTGACCAAGTAATTTATACTGTTACGGGGGTAACAGTACTTTTTACAGTATAAAATCTGATCACGTGGTCTATTTTCTAAATAGCTTTAAATGGCCGCCATTTTTTTCTCGATTCATTGTTATTTTTATATAGCATCACTATAGTGTGACTATGACCACCCATAAAATTTAGTTGCTTGCACCCTGGAGTGCTTTTCTCGTATAAAATATCTTTATAATTGCAATGTCAATAATTATGTGTCAAACTGGAACATTCAGACGAGGAAAGGATTATTTAACAATTTTAATCAGTGAAACATTACAGATATGCTGGATAGACATAGGATATCATCGTTATTTTGAAAACACATATGTCAAAAACCATGCGAAGAATATTCTGGGTACAGAAGGGTCAGATTTCACTGATCATAACCGTATAAATGGGTTCTAAATAAAACACAGCTTATTGTATGTTTATGACTGGTAGATATCATCACTTACTTAAACAATAAAAGAAAAAATCTCAAGTAGACCTACTGTACAGTACACCTAAAACTTAAAAGGTAAGGACAGTTTAGGTATTGTTACTCTTTACAGTTAAATTTAGTTGACAATTTCATATGATCACAGTATTTGTTCGGGGTAATAGAATAAACAGTGGCGGATTCAGGTCCGGGCTTCAGGGCTGCAGCCCCCAGCTCGGCCAAAAGATACGTTTACCAGATGGGCTTCAATATATTTTTGTCAGTTTCAAACTTTATTGACTTTAGTGTACTCCCTTATCAAAATATAAATTGCTGTTTTCCAGATGTTAATCTCCTGCCTTGAGGCTTGGTAGAGATCTTTATCAACATGCTTGAATGATTTCAATGTTTAACTGCATAATTAGTTGGTTTATTACCATCCAAAGAACTAATGAAATTAATAGTCACAAATAGTGGCAAATAGATGGTGTAACATAGTACACAATATTAATTATCTTTGTTTTTCCATTTTGTTTGGGAAAACCTTATAATTAAGAAATTGAAAATTACGATTTGTAAACTATAAAGGTGGCGAGTTTTATAAAGATAATATAAAAGGAATCACGTTTTAAAAACTAGTTTTACAAAGATTTTTATCTGGTCATTTGTTTTTATTAACTTTTTATGGTAGTTATATTTTTTAATAAAATTTAAATTGTACTGACCTCTTCATTGATGGAAAATTTTTTATTGAATATTAGTGTTTCAGATTATGTTTATTGTACAATAGAAAGGCAGCTAATTTAAGAACACTTTATTATGGAAACTTATCTATTATTAAGATGAGTCAATTGATTGAGTGTTTGAAATTAATTTTATCAACGATCGCAGATACATTGGTATTATGTGCTGTTAACGTTATTTTGTAAATGCTTACTATTAAACACCAGGACAATTCTGTTTAAAGACCCTGCAAACACTAACCTATACAAAATACAATGTGATGTTAAACCATCCAAAAGGTACCATAAACAACACTAAGCACCAGAAAGTCAAGGAAATAACACCATTTTCAGCCTCACATTTCAATATTTCTCAGAATATGGGAGGGGACCCCAATTACATATATTTTCTTCATTCCATATAATCTAAATATTAACAAAAAAATTATTTGTTGTTATGTCTGACACTATAAACTATCAAAGTACTTAATTGAGCCGCGCCACGACAAAACCAACATAATGTGTTTGCGACCAGCATGGATCCAGACCAGCCTGCGCATCCGCGCTGTCTGATCAGGATCCATACTGTTCGCTTACAAACACAGGCTGGTCTGGATCCATGCTGGTCGCAAACCCATTATGTTGGTTTTGTCATGGCGTGGCTCATTTGTTTTATTATAAACCTTTCATAATAGACCAAGTCTCTTCAGAGTGTAATATAGACATTTTTACGAAACGGTCCGTTGCCTTGAAAAATCGACGGGATGTAATATTTTCTCACGCATATGCAATATACAATACAAATGTGGAATTTTACCACATAGAAACATAAAATTATAAGTATAAACAATAAATGTGCTTTAATATCACATAATTTTCTTTTTAATTTTAATGTCCCACACACCAAAGATGACATTAGATAGCTACTTCAAATCACATAATATCAAAGCATTTAAGCATAAGTGTTCTAATAATTTCAAATATACCTTTACCGATACGAAGATATAGCCAATTGACGCATTTCAGCACACTTAATTAAATTATTGTATACGAAGACACATTGTCGGAACCGAATGCATCAGTCAGAGTTTTTCAAATACGAAAGACCCTGAGTAAATGTTAAAACGCAAAAATGTTCAAGTGAATTACTTTAAAACATCATTGCATCCGTTATTTACGAAAGAATAACTGTTCTAAACTTATTGTGGTCATTTAAATTATATCAAACGGTTATTGAAGCTGTTAAATACTGATGAAATCTATTCGTTTTTTTATTGCATTTCTGTCCTGCGATGAATGCGCATGTGCAAAATGCTACTTCCGTTTCTATGGAAATGTCATATTGTAAAAAGTTCTGTAAACAACTATAAAAAGTGTAATGATCTTGTTGCATAAATTGAAGTTTTTTCTTCGGCGTGGTTGTTACTTTTGGCCTAAATATGCAGCCAGATGAATTGTAAATTACAAAAATTTCAGCGGAATAGGGACGAATATCATTGGTTAAAAGAGCAGAGGTGATGAGTAATATGGTCAAGATTTCTAATTTCAGTTAAAATGTAACTTTAAACTAAGTTGTCTTAAAATTATTTCAGACTTCAAAATAGGAGAAATATTTTCAAAGGAAAAGATATGCAGTACGTGTGATAAAATACAGTTTATTTTCAATCGCCACCCGGTCTGTAAATTCTAAGCCGCCATAACCTCTTACGGAAACTGTTATGTATAGGAGAATTATTTCAAGCTCAAAATTATTATGTTTGATTGTTAATAAAAATATGAAGTGAAGCTATCATTCAGACAAGCCATGTCATGTGTTTTAGAGGTGCATCGCTAACAAGATTGTGCTAGAGGGATGGCATAGACGAAAAGACAAACAGACGAACGGACAGTAAATTATACAACGAGACTTTATGACAATGATATTTTCTTATTCCAATTTGACATAATGTTTTTAGTGAAAATAAATGCAAAAACATTCTAAATCATAAGCGCGACCATAAGCGGCGACCATTGTTACCTACCCTAAACACATGCCATGTGATCCTCCACCCAGGAGGAGTGTTCCTGGGCATCATAATTTTTTACACACAAAAAATAGACCACGTTGCACTCTATCCCTACCGTATGCATTACTGCATTTAGCAGTTGATATTTTGTTCAAAACAACTGCCGAATGCACCGCCAAAGTACGTTTTTAGGTGTAAGTGTCTGAAGTGTTTTTCAAGGAGTATTTAGCAAAAATTTACCCCAAACACTTAAAAGGCCTTGGCCTAGTGCAACAGGAAAATATGTTTATGCAATAAATGTTTGTTTGTGATCACGTGAACATTTGTTTAACAAATATCAAAACATTTTTAAAGTTACTTTTCAGACCACAAAATCTTAACACTTGCTGAATTAAAACTAATTTGACTTGCATTTAATATCGAGGATATAAACTTGGTTTTATATCATTTTCCGGCGACAACAGACCTGACTTGGTAAGTCTGTATTTTATTGCTCTACTTGTATGAAAAAAGTCCTACGTAACAGTAAAACTTATTTTTAAAACATTACCTTTTATTTTTTTTTTGTTAATAAGATATTGTATAGAATATCACCATCGTCACTCATGGTACAGTGTGTATATACTAAATTATTATATGACCTATAAATAGTTTTAAAATGACTTTCTATGATTGGTTAAGAAGTAATTTTTCGTAAAAAATAACTAGTGAATATCAGAGTATATTCACTGTTTCTAAAAATACATTTTCTGGAAACCCCCCATAAAAGACGCGTGCTATGACGTGACGCCACGCCAAATTTGTTGTTATTTTTCTGATAAAACGTATGGCAAATCGCAAATAAAAGTCAAATTAGTCTTTTTTAGTTACCGTCTTTACATTTTAAGTACATCTTGGAAGTAACGTAACAGTGCGCTCAACGTAGGCAAGCTGAAAAATGTCGATTTCCGTTGTATTCAATGGCAGATTTGATATCCCATATTTTATAAAAGCGATTTATAGATTGTATAATAAAACAGATACATGTATGTACTTTTTAGATGGTGAATATGACATGATATGTACTGAAAAATAAATATCAACCTCGGCTATCGCCTCGGTCATATAGTTATTTTATATTATTACCCCTCACTTTTTTCGTAATGCTAATTTCCCATAGGCCTCAGGGAGTTATTTTTACTGTTAATGCAAGTGTACCACGTGACTAAAAATTTTGTACTGTTACATAGGTAACAGTATTTTTTTAAGCGGTCACGTGGTCTATTTCCTAAATAAAATGAAATAAAATGGCCGCCATTTTTTTCTCGATTCATTCTTATTTTCAACGTTAAACCCCGATAGGACATCAATTTCTCCTCTGGAGTCCCTATGACACTCGTAAAATTTAGTTGTTTGTACCCTGGTGTGCTTTTCGCGTATAAAATATCTTTTTGCTCAATAGTCAAAAAGTGAACATCCGTTTTCAACGGAAGTGATTGCAATGTAAATAATTATGTGTCAAACTGAAAAATGCAGAAGATTTAAGCATGCAACAAAGGATTATTTAACAAATTTAATCAGTGAAACGTTACAGATATGGTGGACATAGGATATCATCGTTATTTTGTCAAAAACCATGCTAAGAATATTCTGGAAACAGAAGGATCAGATTTCACAGATCATAACCGTGTAAATGGGTTAGTGTTTTGTTTCCTAAATAAAACCTAGCTTATTGTATGTTTATGATTTGTAGATATCATCACTTGCTTAAAGAATAAAAGAAAAAGAAAACTTCTCAAGTAGGCCTACAGTAAAGTACACTTAAAACTTAAAAGGTAAGGACAGTTTAGTTATTGTTACTCTTGGTTTATTTTTGTTACAGTTAGATTTAGTTGACAATTTCAGATCATCTCAGTATTTTTGTTCGGGGTAATAAAATAAATAACACATGGGTTTGTGAGTAACAGTAAAAATATCATCCCTCGTAAAAATACTGTTACCCTCGGCTACGCCTCGGGTAACAGTATTTTCCTCGGGATGATATTTTTACTGTTACCCACAAACCCATGTGTTATTTATATACTGTTATTGTTATAATTGTAGTTATAGTCATATCATAGCATGACGTGACGTGACGTGACGTGACGTGACATGATATAATATAGCATACACGAAATTCAATTGTTAAAAATGATAATAATGATAAAACAATCATAACAGAAATATAAAAATAAATAATAATTATCATAAAATGATACTAAAATGATAATGATAATCACAACAACGATTTATAAAGGTAGCACATGAAGAAATAGCTTTTTAAAGTATGTGAGAAGTTAGCAGTTAACAGTGAGCTAAGCAAAAAGGCATTACGATTTATATAGGGAAATCAATGATCTGCTGTTATGCTCAGCTGGGTAAGCAATCTAGCAGAGCATTCCAAAATAAAGTGTAGAAATGCTTTGCTGGTATGCTCAGCTGGGTAATCAATCTAGCAGGCCATTCCTAAATAGAGTGTAAAAATACTCTGCTGGTATGCTTAGCTGGCTAGGCAATCTAGCGGGACATTCCAAAATATAGCGTTAAAATGCTCTGCTGGTATGCTCAGCTGGCTAAGCAATCTAGCGGGGCATTCCAAAATATAGTGCAAAAAAATGCTCTTCTGGTATGCACAGCGGGACATTCCAAAATATATTGTACAAAATGATCTGCTGGTATGCTCAGCTGGCTAGGCGATCTAGCAGGGAATTCCTAAATATAGTGTAAAATTACTCTGCTGTTATACCTAGCAGGCTAAGCAGTCTAGCGGGGCATTCCAAAATAAAGTGTAAAAAGCTCTGCTGTTATGCTCAGCTGGCTAAGCAATCTAGCAGGGTATTCCAAAATATAGTGTAAAAATACTCTGCTGTTATACTCAGCTGGCTAAGCATTCTAGCGGGGCATTACTAAATAATAGTGTAAAAATGCTTAGCTGTTACGCTCAGCTGGCTAAGCAATCTAGCGGGGTATTCCATAATATAGTGTAAAAATGCTCTGCTGTTATGCTCAGCTGGCAAAGCAATCTAGCGGGGTATTCCAAAATATTATGTAAAAATGCTTTGCTGTTATGCTCAGCTGGCTAAGCAATCAAGCGGGACATTCCAAAATATAGTGTTAAAAATACTCTGCTGTTATGCTCAGCTGGCTAAGCAATCTAGCGGGGCATTACTAAATATTGTGTAAAAGTACTCTGCTGTTATGCTCAGCTTGCTAAGCAATCTAGCGGGTTATTTCATAATATAGTGTAAAATGCTCTGCTGTTATGCTCAGCTGGCTAAAAAATCAAACGGGACATTCCAAAATATAGTGTAAAAATGCTATGCTGTTATGCTCAGCTGGGTAAGCAATCTAGCTGGGCATTCCTAAATATAGTGTAAAAATGCTTAGCTTTTATGCTCAGCTGGCTAAGCAATCTAGCGGGACATTCCAAAATATAGTGTAAAAATGCTCTGCTGAATTGCTCAGCTGGCTAGGCAATCTAGAAGGGCATTCCTAAATATAGTGTTAAAATGCTCAGCTGAATAGGCAATCCAGCAGAGCATTCCTAAATATAGTGTAAAATGCTCTGCTGGTAAGCTCAGCTGGCTAAGCAATCTAACGGGACATTCCAAAATATAGTGCGAAAAATGCTCTGCTGGTATGCTCAGCTGGCTAAGCAATCTAGCAGGGCATTCCTCAATATAGTGTGAAAATGCTCAGCTGGCTAGGCAATCCAGCAAAGCATTCTGAAAATTAGTGTAAAAATGTTCTTTCTTTCAGAAATTTTTGGTGTTAATGCAGATACTGACATTTGTTAATTTTTAGGACCATCTAGAGTCCATTTGGTTGGTTTGCGAATGTTTCTGGAACACTCGAAGACTTTCAGAAATTTTCGGTGCTAATGGAGATAATGACATTTTTACTTCAAAAGAACCCTTCTGAGTCTATTTCGTTGGTCTGCCACTGATTCTGAGTCACTCGCAGACGTTCAGGAATTTTGGTGTCAATGCAGAAAATGATATTTCTGACTTGTTGGGACCTTCCTGAAGCCATTTTTTTGGTCTGCGACTGATTCTGAGGCACTCACAGACTTTCAGGAATTTTTGATGTCTAGGCAGATATTGACATTTTTTTCTTCTAGGGACCATCCAGGATCCATTTTTTTGGTCTGCGACTTATTCTTGGACAGTCACAGACTTTCAGGATTTTTTGGTGCCAACAGAGATAATTACAATTTTAACATTTTTGACCATCCAGAGTCTATTTCGTTGGTCTGCGACTGATTATTGGGCACTTTCAGACTTTCAGAAATTTTTGGTGCTAATGCAGATAATGACATTTTAGAGTAAAAATGCTCTGCTTGACTAAGGGGTCCTTAAAAGTAAAAAAATGTTATGATCTGCAATGGCACTAAACATCCTGAAAGTCTGCGAGTCTCAAGGAATCAGTCACAGACCCAAGAAATGTACTCTGGCGGTTTCCTAGAAGTCAGAAATGTCATTATCTTCATTGGCATCAAAATTCCTGAAAGTCTGCAAGTGTCCCAAATTCAGTCGCAGACCATCGAAATGAACTCTGGTGGGTCGCTAGAAGTCAAAAATGTCATTATCTCCATTGGCACCACATATTCCTGAAAGTCTGCGAATGTCCCAGAATCAGTCGCAGACCATAAAAATGGACTCTGGCGGGTCCCTAGAAGTAAAACTTGCCATCATCTCTATTGGCACCAAACTTTCCTGAAAGTCTGCGAGTGTCCAACAATACGCTGCAGGCCAATGAAATGGACTCTTAAAGGTCCCTAGAAGTCAAAAATATGACTGTTTCCATCGGCACCAACCATTCCTGAAAGTCTGCGAGTGTCCGAGAATCAGTCGCAGACCAACAAAATGGACTCTTGAAGGTCCCTAGAAGTCTAAATTGTCAATATCAGCATTGGCACCAAAATTCCTGAAACTCTGCGAGTGTCCATCAAAAAGTCGCAGGTAAATGAAATAGTCTCTTAAAGGTCCTTAGAAGTCAAAAATATCATTATTTCTATTGGCACCAAAAATTCCTGAAAGTCTGCGAGTGCCTCAGAAGTGCCTAGAAGTCGAAAATGTCAATAAAACGTTGGCAACAATAAATCCTTGAACTCAGAATCAGTCTGCCAGCTGAGCAATCCAGAAGTCTAGAGCTTATTAATACTATAATTCAGAATTCACCGCAAGATTGCTTATCCAACACAGCATTTTCACACTATTTTTCAGAATGTTCTGCTAGGTTGCCTAGACAGCTTAGCATTCCAGCAGAGCATTTTTACACTATATTTAGAAATGCTCTGCTAGATTGCAAAGGCAGCTGAGTATTGCAGCTGAGCAATTTTACACTTTATTTAGGAATGCCCTGCTAGATTGCTTAGCCAGCTTAGCATTCCAGCAGAGCATTTTTACACTATATTTAGTAATGCCCTGCTAGATTGCCTAGCCAGCTTAGCATTCCATCAGAGCATTTTTTCACTAAACATGTATTAAGGAATGCCCTGCTAGATTTCTTAGCCAGCTTATCATTCCAGCAGAGCATTTTTACACTATATATAGTAATGCCTTGCTAGATGGCCTAGCCAGCTAAGCATTCCATCAGAGCATTTTTTCACTAAACATGTATTAAGGAATGCCCTGCTAGATTTCTTAGCCAGCTTAGCATTCCAGCAGAGCATTTTTACACTTTATCAAGGAATGCTCTGCTATAGTGCCTAGCCAGTTGAGCATTCCTACAGAGGATTTTAACACTATATTTAGTAATGCCCTGCTTGATTGCATAGCCAGCTTAGCATTCCAGCAGAGCATTTTTACACTATATTTAGTAATGCCCTGCTAGATTTCCTAGCCAGCTTAGTATTCCAGAAGAGCATTTTTACACTATATTTAGTAATGCCCTGCTAGGTTGTCCAGCCAGCTTAGCATTTCAGCAGAGCATTTTTACTCTATACCGGGGTATTTAGTAATGCCCTGCTAGAATGCCTAGCCAGCTTAGCTAGCCAGGTGAGCATTCCAGCAGAGCATTTTAACACTATATTTAGTAATGCACTGCTAGATTGCCTAGCCAACTGAGCGTTCAAGCAGAGCATTTTTACACTATATTTAGTAATGCTCTGCTAGATTGCCTAGCCAGCTGAGCGTTCCAGCAGAGCATTTTTACACTATATATAGTAATGCTCTGCTAGATTGCCAAGACAGCTGAGTATTGCAGCAGAGCATTTTTACACTATATTTAGGAATGCCCTGCTAGATGCCCAAAACAGCTGAGCATTCCAGCAGAGCATTGACTTCCCTATATAAATTGAAATGCCTTTTTGCTTACTTCTGCTGACTTCTCACATACCTTTTTGAAGGGCCTTTTAATCAAATTTTTGTCCAAATCTGAAACTTACACCACAGTAAGTATACAGTCTCTTCTTAACAAAAATGCAAATCTTATAAAAAATTTGCTTTCACAACGCTTTAGAATCCAATATGGCCGCCGATTTTATGCAAATCGGGTATACATCTTATTATGGTAAAAATTTACAGCAAAGATTATGGATTATGCCGTTTCCGATAAAAAGGTCAACAAACATTTTAGAAATAATCAAGTTATAATTAAATAACAATGAAATATATTGCTTTTCAGGTTTTTATCTTAAAATTTTCAAATTATCAGTATTTTGCACATTTTCTAATACGGTTACCTAACAATAACAAAAAAATCCTAGTAAGTACTAAAATTCTATTATTGTTTTGTTTTTCATAAATACAATGTGTGTTTAAAGTTGTTTTACTAAACTAAATTCAAGAAATCTCATGATTTGTAAGTTTTATACTTGGTTAAAGTGGGTTGGGTAATTTCACCCCAAAATCGGGGGAAAAAACGAAATCCGCCGAAATATGTTAATTTTATTTCTCTGCTTTTTTTTTTACTTTATATGATAGTTCATGCAATTATTCTCTATTCTATGTATTTTTATTGTTTTCAAGTGTTTATTATTATTATTATTTCTTCTATTATTTTAAAGAGGAAGGCAAGAAAATAAAACCATTTAATTTTGTTTCAGTAAGCACTAAGAATTATTCTTAAAAAGAAATATGTACAAAAGAACAATCTTCATATTCTATGTATTCCTGGTCGCCATGACGACTTTAGCGCTGTGTCTGGACCATAAGCCGGAAATGGAACCTTTGAGAAAGGATGAGCAGCAAGCACTTAAACCATCCCGACAACGACGCTGTATCCTTTTTTAGAGTAATCATATTGTAAGACTTATATGACTGATAGCTATCGAAAAGACGATAACGATATAGGTTGTGTTGTCGCTATCGAAAAAAAGCCACCATACTTTCAAGCAATACGTCATCAGACAAGAAAAATGTCTTTTTCGTTCCAAAATGGCGGCGTTTTTTAACATTATGTAGGATACGACGCAGTTTTGATTCCAGCCCCGAGTCCAGGGGTCGTTCAGTATATCCGGTTGTTCAGCTTATCCGAATACCATTACACACTTTTCGATAGTGTCAGGTACACTAAAGGGATTAATGTGGTTCTAACAGACTCCGGCCGTAAACAAAACAAATAGCTTTATACTTCTAGACTGTTCTAAACATTCAGATGTAATATTTAATTTCAATGTAGTGTATGTAAGCTTAACATTATGGTTGCATGTATTATGGTATTGATATATATTTTAACCTTAACATAAATCAAGGGCTACATCGTCGATGCTCTCGTGGTGGAGGTTTCTGCAGAATCAGATGTTCCAGGTTTGAATATAATGTTAGCGGAAATATCGACTGCTATTTTGGCTACAACTGCTGCAAAAGAATAGTTTCACATTAAAGGACGCCATTAAATAAATTTTACTTTTCACTTAATTCAACAGATACTCTACTATTAAAGGTCCTTTATACTTCTTAACAAATTCGCTATTTGAATTATAATATTATGTAATTGCACAGAATAATAAAATAAATTTGGAAAGTTTCCATTTTATCAAATGTTGTTTCAAATGACATTCAAGTAACTTTAGTTTCGCAATAAAAAGACTATTATCAGAAAAAGCCTATTTATTGTTATTACCCCTCACTTTTTTTCGTAATGTTAATTTCCTATAGGCCTCTAGGAGTTATTCTTACTGTTAATGCAAGTGTACCACGTGACCAAGTAATTTATACTGTTACGGGGGTAACAGTACTTTTTTACAGTATAAAATCTGATCACGTGGTCTATTTTCTAAATAACTTTAAATGGCCGCCATTTTTTTCTCGATTCATTGTTATTTTTATATAGCATCACTATAGTGTTACTATGACCACCCATAAAATTTAGTTGCTTGCACCCTGGAGTGCTTTTCTCGTATAAAATATCTTTATAATTGCAATGTCAATAATTATGTGTCAAACTGGAACATTCAGACGAGGAAAGGATTATTTAACAATTTTAATCAGTGAAACATTACAGATATGCTGGACAGACATAGGATATCATCGTTATTTTGAAAACACATATGTCAAAAACCATGCGAAGAATATTCTGGATACAGAAGGGTCAGATTTCACTGATCATAACCGTATATATTGGTTTGTGTTTTGTTAGCTAAATGTAACACAGCTTATTGTATGTTTATGATTGGTAGATATCATCACTTACTTAAAGAATAAAAGAAAACAATCTTAAGTAGGCCTACTGCACAGTATACCTTAAACGACAGTTTAGTTATTGTTACCCTTTACAGTTAGATTTAGTTGACAATTTCATATGATCATAGTATTTGTTCGGGGTAATAGAATAAATAACACATAGGTTTGTGAGTAACAGTAAAAATATCATCCTTCGTAAAAATACTGTTACCCTCGGCTACGCCTGGGGTTACAGAATTTACGAGGTATGATATTTTTACTGTTACCCACAAACCCATGTGTTACTTATATAATATTTTATATCAGTTTTACAATAACAAGAGCGTTTGTCGAGTATGTGAGAAGTTAGCAGTTAACAGTGAGCTAAGCAAAAAGGCATTACGATTTATATAGGGAAATCAATGATCTGCTGTTATGCTCAGCTGGGAAAGCAATCTAGCAGAGCATTCCAAAATAAAGTGTAGAAATGCTTTGCTGGTATGCTCAGCTGGGTAAGCAATCTAGCAGGCCATTACTAAATATAGTGTAAAAATGCTCTGCTGTTATACTCAGCTGGCTAAGCAATCTAGCGGGGCATTCCAAAATATAGTGTAAAAAGCTCTGCTGTTATGCTCAGCTGGCTAAGCAATCTAGCGGGGCATTCCAAAATATAGTGTAAAAAGCTCTGCTGTTATGCTCAGCTGGCTAAGCAATCTAGCGGGGCATTCCAAAATATAGTGTAAAAATGCTCTGCTGTTATGCTCAGCTGGCAAAGCAATCTAGCGGGGCATTCCAAAATATAGTGTAAAAATGCTCTGCTGTTATGCTCAGTTGGCTAAGCAATCTAGCGGGACATTCCAAAATATAGTGTAAAACTGCTCTGCTGTTATGCTCAGCAGGCTAAGCAATCTATCGGGACATTCCAAAATATAGTGTAAAAATGCTCTGCTGTTATGCTCAGCTTGGTAAGCAATCTAGCGGGGCATTCCAAAATATACTGTAAACATGATTTTCTGGTATGCTCAGCTGGCTAGGCAATCTAGCAGGGCATTCCTAAATATAGTGTAAAAATGCTTAGCTGTTATGCTCAGTTGGCTAAGCAATCTAGCGGGACATTCCAAAATATAGTGTAAAAATGCTCTGCTGAATTGCTCAGCTGGCTAGGCAATCTAGAAGGGCATTCCTAAATATAGTGTTAAAAATGCTCAGCTGGCTAGGCAATCCAGCAGAGCATTCCATAATATAGTGTAAAAAATGTTCTGCTGGCAAGCTCAGCTGGCTAAGCAATCTAGCAGAGCGTTCCAAATATAGTGCGAAAAATGCTCTGCTGGTATGCTCAGCTAGCTAAGCAATCTAGGCAGGGCATTCCTAAATATATAGTGTTAAAAATTCTCAGCTGGCTAGGCAATCCAGCAAAAGCATTCTGAAAATTAGTGTAAAAATGTT